AAGACACATCTGAAAAGGCTGATGACAATGGCCCTCAAGGCCAGATATAGCTGTGGGGCATATACCGTGTCTGACCGCCAGCCTAGTGTTTTGTTTGCCACAAGCGCCCACTAGCACACAAACACGCACACACAGACAGGGACACACTCACAGACAGACAGAGACTTACACACACACACAGGAACAACATCCTCCTTCAATCAATCTGTCACATTCCTTTTTTCCCTGTGCTTCATTGGTCTGGTTGCACTTTTCTCTCTCCTCACATGGTGACCACTGCTATTGAGTTGGGTAGGAAGCATCTCTCTTGGGTGGGCAAGAAAAATGGGCGCGAACTGGCTCTTTTTATGCTCTAGCTCATCTATGGCGATGATGGAGTCATGAGAAGCAACTGCAGCCCTGCTAAATGTCCCCTTGATTTAGAGTCAAGAACATGTCTTTGTTCCATTATGACATAAAATCTCCTATACTAACTGCCTGGACAGATCGAGTTGCACACAATATTGGCACAAACAATTCATACTGGTATGTGACCGCATTGACACACAGCAACAATATTCAAGGACCGGTCAGAACTTGTGTTGAAGAATCCCTGTAGATGATTGGGTTTGTAACTACATGTATGATGGCTAGACATACGAAGACATATGAAAAGAGAGTGCTAGTGCACATCCAACTTGGCACAGAGAAAAAAAGCCACTTTAGATGAAAGCAGGTGGGTGCACATTACCTTTTTCTGCACCCATCAAGACAGACACCGAATCTTCGGTTGGATCACAACAACTTATTTGACCTATACATTTGTAAACCCCATGCACTGCACACAGAATCCTAGACAAAACACTCCAATGTTTTGGAAATGTCAATGGCTTGACCTTTGTGTTTGGACCTTTTCAACCTTTTCATATTTTGTGTGATATTGATCAAACCTCTATGCAGCAAAATAAACTATGATTATTTCAAGGGAATGGACACCTGATTGGACAGCTAGCTGACTGGCATTAGAGATGATCCAACAACTTCAGGGTTGGGCTCACTTACTTCTCAATTCTACGGAGGTCCAGAGAGGACATATGAATAAAAAATTATAATTCCCTCGTTATGTCGAGATTATGACTTATTTATCTCATGATCACTACATACAATGCATTCGGAAAGTATTCAGACCACTTGACTTTTTCCACATTTTGTTACGTTACAGCCTTATTCTAAAATGGATCAAATTGTTTTTTCCCCCTCATCAATCAACACACAAGACCCCATAATGACAAAGCAAAAACACATTTTGAGACATTTTTGCACATGTATTAAAAATACAAAACTGATATCACATTTACATAAGTATTTAGACCCTTTACTCAGTACTTTGTTGAGGCTGCCGTGTGTCTGCGTTGATCGCAATGCGCTCATGGGGCATTTAAGCCCTGAATGATGCCTGACATTAGCTGGCAGGCTGATCAGATTCAATAGCAGACTCAGAGTCTGATAAATCAGGATGCTACCTTGTAGGCTGTTTCATATGTAAGGCTCCTTGCAGACAGCCTACAAGGCAGAATCCTGACTTATCAGCCTCTGATGCTGCTATTGAATCTGATCAAGCTCTGAAGCTGAAATTGAATCTGATCAGCCTGTCAGGAATGGAGCTCACCCACGCTGTACATTTTACTAAAAACATGAAATGTCCCTTACAATTATACACATATCAGTTATGCAAGCTAACAACCAGCATAGATAACAAGCTAGCTAGCTATCTAGCTAACAAGACTACCTAGCTAAATAGCTTGCTCGCTCACAAGAGGGAGAGGCTATACAGGCACTCCTGGTGCCTAAAATGATGTCGAGCAGCGAGAGTTGAGTGGGGGACGAATGGAATCGGTTCAGTCAGTTCAGTCAGTTGTCTTAATGAGCCCTCCCCAGCTAGCTAGTTTATGCTTGTGGCTAGAAACTTCAGCGAGATTTTGAAACATGTCTGCCGAAGTTGGGACTTGGGAGTGTTCAGAATCATTCTGTTTATATTGAACTGCAAAATCCCTGGCCTGATATTAGCTACACTATCTAGCTACTTCCCTCTAAGTTAGTTACTGCAGGACAGCAGTGTGCCAGGCAAGCGGGACTCTTGAGCAAAGGACACACTGTGCCCGGTGTTGTTATGTTGCTGATTTGCAGTGCAAACTCTCCCCATTAAGCAGCAGTAGACTATCACAGTGACATCCAGGTGGTTACTACCAATATTACAAGTTAGTTATCATGTAGGCTGCTATCCTACTCGAAATATATTAGAGTAAGGAACAAATTTGTCACATTAGCTACCGCCAGCAATGTGATACAGCTGTCCGGTGAAGCAACTGCTGCCCAGTGGGAAGCAAAAGAGGGAAAGGACATCGATACAAATCAAATCAAATTTTATTTGCCACATGCGCCGAATACAACAGGTGTAGACATTACCGTAAAATGCTTACTTACAGCCCTTAACCAACAATGCATTTATTTTAAAATAAAAAAGTAAAATAAAACAACAACAACAACAAAAAAGTGTGGAGAAAAAAGAGCAGAAGTCAAATAAAATAACAGTAGGGAGGCTATATACAGGGGGGTACCGGTACAGAGTCAATGTGCGGGGGCACCAGCTAGTTGAGGTAGTTGAGGTAGTTGAGGTGATATGTACATGTGGGTAGAGTTAAAGTGACTACGCATAAATAATTAACAGAGTAGCAGCAGCGTAAAAAGATGCGGTGGGGGTGGGGGTGGGGGGGCAGTGCAAATAGTCCGGGTAGCCATGATTAGCTGTTCAGGAGTCTTATGGCTTGGGGGTAGAAGCTGTTGAGAAGCCTTTTGGACCTAGACTTGGCGCTCCGGTACCGCTTGCCGTGCGGTAGCAGAGAGAACAGTCTATGACTAGGGTGGCAGGAGTCTTTGACAATTTTGAGGGCCTTCCTCTGACACCGCCTGGTATAGAGGACCTGGATAGCAGGAAGCTTGGCCCCAGTGATGTACTGGGCCGTGCGCACTACCCTCTGTAGTGCCTTGCGGTCGGAGGCCGAGCAGATGCCATACCAGGCGGTGATGCAACCAGTCAGGATGCTCTCTGTGGTGCAGCTGTATAACTTTTTGAGGATCTGAGGACCCATGCCAAATCTTTTCAGTCTCCTGAGGGGGAATAGGCTTTGTCGTGCCCTCTTCACGACAATGCATTGGTCATTCACACCGGCTTGTCATTAGCTGTGTTGTTGTTGCTTGCATGTGATTGGCTGTGGTCTTGGGGTTGGCACACAGACTGGGAGACAGTGCGGCCTGTCAGCCATCGTTCAGGGCTTAAATGTCCCACGAGCTCTTAGCTCAAGTTATGGTACATTTAGCTTGCTAACATTCTAACTTATAAACTGATAATGTGCTCCAAACTCAAATAAAAGCATGATGTTAGCATGAAATGTACCATCCCTTAGTGTAGCAATAAATAAAAACGTATGCGCTGATCCACCGTGGGCTCTACCGTAAAGGCTGGACCCATTCCGAAATGGACCTGGGGCTTTCCCATCCGGGCCCGATATCATAAATAAATAAAAATAATATAGAGACCCATTCCGAACGGACCCGAGGACAACTAGACCCTTTCCGTATAGACCTGGTCGGATCCAGACCCGGCCCGATTCGAGTGAGAGAAGCAGCAGAAAAGTACATTTTTTACCTACTTTATTAACCAGAGCTGATAGCGTGTGAGGTAGAGAGAGGTGATGCTCTAGCAGGGGCTGTGCTGTGTGTGTAGGCTACTGTGAGTGTGAGCGAGTGACACCGGAACAGGGAGGAGGGAGGGAGAGACGGGAGACAGCAACCAACCAAGCCAACTCGCGCTATAGTAGACCAATAGCTGCCATAGCTAGGTTATTTATCATCCAGTATGATTACATACTAGTACCTGTCTTGACTGCATCAAACTGGGAGAAGCTGCTGTATGTAAGCTACCTAGCTAGTTGGCTAGCTAGGCAAATTGTGGCTGCATGCTTTCTCGTCCTACACAATTAAAAACAACAACTCCATTACGAATATAAAGTAGCAGCCTACCTGTTGGCTCTTGGTCGTTGAAGACTTTCCTTCTCTTTTAACTTTTAATTTAATCTTCCATTGATTAGATATCTCCTAAATTTTGCTCCTACACAGTTAAAAACAACAACTCCATTACGAATATAAAGTAGCAGCCTACCTGTTGGCTCTTGGTCGTTGAAGACTATCCTTCTCTTTTAACTTTTAATTCCATCTTCCATTGATTAGATATCTCCTAAATTTTGCTCCACACAGAGGCTCTATGACTGTAGCCTATTGATGCTTTGATGACTTAAGATTGGCCAACAACAACAACAAGCTGGGCGCGCCACTCTCGTGAAAAGCAAAGAGCAGCAGCATAAATCATAAAATGTCTCTCTCACTCTACTGCTACAGTCACATTCGGATCTGTATGAGTCCTCCTGGACAAATCAGTTAAAATTGCGCATACCAGTGACAGTCAAATCAGATCCGACCCAGACCCGTGACATTATTTAAAAATTCTGGATCCGGAACCTCTCGGTATTCGGGTACAGATGGATCCGTGAAGACCTCTACTCTGCCGCCTCATCAATACCGCCACTCCTATTGATAGAGTTTATCTCGTGATCTCGACAAAACAACTTTTGTTATGTAGTGTTCATGAGATAAATAAGTTGTGATCTCGACATAACGAGGGAATTATTTGTTTATTAATTTGTCCTCTCTGAACTTCTGTACAATTCCAGTCAATTCAGGAATTTTATCACACTGCTTTGGAGAAATTCCATGTCCAATTCGTCTGATTGGAATTGACCTCTATTCTTGATAACTCACCGACATATGCACATACTGTACTATATGTCTACCACATTCTATTATGCTATTAAATATATTTGTTTCTGATAGTATGACAACTAAATTATAAGTTATTGCTGTTCTCAGATCAGCCTTTTTTCTCCTTTGAACATTGCAGGTTAAAAATGCATTATGTCTGTCTATGCCTTTTAATAACTTTTTATAGCCTCAGCTTGGAGATTAAAGCTTAATATGTAAGCATAATGTAATTACCAATATACGATTTATCTTTATTGGTGAAGAGCGCTATTGCAGCTTACTCCTGGGCTGAGGTCATGATGCTGCTCGCTTCTCTTCCTTAGTGTTGGAGTCCATTGTGCGCTCAAGGTCCTCTCTTTATGCTACCCATCACCCATTTGGCTGTTTCTCTGTGGGTTCCATTCATTAGATTGCTTTGATTTGCACATGGCATTTTCTTTTCTTTTTCAGAGCAGTCTTCTCGCCATCCATCTGTCACTTTTTCCCATCTTCCTCTGATTGTGTCATTTTACATTTTATGTCTATCTATTCTTCACCAGAGCCTCTCAAGTAAACTAGAGATAGTGGTTTGTGAAGACTTGTGCTTTTTCATTAAAAAAAAAATCATTTATTTCCTTATTTCGCCTTCTCCCCCCTTTCTTTCTTCCTTTCTTTCTTTTTTGTCCTCTCTCTCTCTCTGCCTTTTTCCCCCTCTGCTCTTTCTCCTTCCTTCTCTTTTCTAGGCCTTCTCGTGGTGGCCGGAGATGATGGCGGAGCACGCTGAAACTTTCATGTCTCTCTACACCGTCGACATGGATGGTGCTCTGCAAGTCCAGCCCGTTGACTCATGGGATAGCTTCCCCTTATTCCAGCTGCTTAACAACTTCCTGCGATGTGACCGTGAGTTCTCCGTTCTCCCTGTGTCCGTCTTCTTCTACCTCTGACCATCTGCTTTGCCTCCAAATACTGATTTAAAGCGTAGCCTACAACACATCAGTGATTCATGAGCACAGTTCAACTTCCAGCTCAGTAACCGTGACTGGCATGCTTCCCTTCCCTATACTGTTCCCTCTAATTATTTTGTTGCCCACTCCCCCACCTCCTCCCTTGTCTTGTTCTCTGACCCTCCGTTTTGTCATTGTCCGTATTTAAAGCATGGACTACGGCACCTCCCAGTCCTGAGCTGTCTTCAAAAGCACGTCCCATACTTCACAGTGAATGTACGCTCCACTAAGAGCACTAATTAACACCAGAAGTGCCACAGAAAACAAGACTCGTTAGAAGAAGAGGTTAACTGTGCTTAGAGCTCCCACACTTCCGCGTCAGCAACACAATAATTAACATCAGCATCAGTGAGGTAACGTAGAGAAATGATAGGACCTGATGTCGAAACACCATTGTAAAGTCAGGGCCCTGGTGCGGCGCTGACCTTACTCCATCTGTCTGCTGAAGACTCTACTTGTCACCTCCTGTAATGCAAGGAGCCGTGTCACACAGACAGGAGAGCATTAGCACAGTTTGAGGCACCTGTCTCACCAGGCTGTCCTCCATTTTGAGTTATTTGATCAATGAACAGGAAACAGAAGTTTGTAGTTTTCCCCTTTTTCCAAATGTACTTTGAAGATAACTGGCAACTCGTAAACAAGCAAAGGGTACTCTGATAAAAGGTTATAGACAGAAACATTTGTCTCATTTAGTTTTAATTTCACCTGCTACCCACCCCCACCATGTGTAATACTTACTTTAATTCCATGAGTGTGAAGTCAGTGTCTGTGTCCGAAAACCCGTAATTGCGTTGTAAATTGTATGTTGATTGGTATTGTGAAAATAAAAAGTTGTATAGTATGTGAAATTTCAAACATTTTCTATTATTTAAATGCCAGGATGTCATACTCATTTCGGCTTTTCATCTAGTAGAATTCGCTGCACACTTGAGGAAGAGAAACGTCTTTTCAGACCCACATGTGTTTGACAACAGCTGATGAATGAAGAAATGGCGGGAAAGAACACAATTGCGATTTAGAGGATGCATTCTCAGTGTGGATGAGCCTAGTATGTTTATTTTTGTTGCTTACTGCATACATTTATACTAAACAGTACGTTCTAAATAGTATGTAGTATGATGAGTATACAGTATGTCGTTTTAGTAAGTAGTAAGCAAGGCCGATTTCGGACACAGCCAATGTCACTGGCATACAGGTGTTTGCCCTTGTGTGCCCTTGTGTACTATCAAACTCGCTCTCGCTCTCTCTCTCATACTTTCATTTTCTTCTTCTCTCTTCTCCCTTATTCACTCTTAGCTCTGAGCCTTTGTTTCATTGCCAGCGGAGAGTTGGCTACATCTGAAGTGTTGTTTTACATTGTCTATGCAAGCCTCACACAGAGCAGACAGACAGCTCAAGGGCAGCAACGTTCAAAATATAACTCTCATTATGTGAGGCTTAGGCAAAGATCATTATTGTGTTTTTTTTCTTCATTTTCTGTAATTAGCATTCTCCATTAATCTTGCAATTATTCCAACTGTCATAACAATTATTTGATTTAAAGAGTAAGGTAATGAGAATAAGGAAAATTATCGTTTTGACTATTACTGCAAATGAGGCCCCTGTTTTTGATAATGATGTCTTAAGTGATAGGCAATTAAATGAGATAAAATTGAATTTTTTTTAAACGTCAAAGCTGATGAAAAAAAAAGCTGCAATTCAACTTGTGAGTTTCTTTTTCTTAGTTGCTTAGCTATAGACCTACATGGTCAAGTCTGCCTTTTAAGATTTGACCTTTCCTACCTCATTCAGGTTATCCACGTTTTCAATGTTGTCAGATGCTTTTAGATATGTGAGTAAAAAAACATACAAAAAGGTGAAACGAGGCTATATTGATACTGTGTGATAAATGAACAAATACTGTACATGATATTCTGAATTGAAGCATTAGTTGTTTGTAATGCCACATTTTAATTATTGTTTTGTAGCGTGAACAAAACATATTTAATTTATCACACCAGGTCTTAATATCCACGTATTCTAAGGATTAACTAAATGCTCACTTTAGTGTCTGCATGTGTTGCGTGATGGGAACTTGTTGGGAGAAGAGCCGTGGGCTCTCAGGAGGGTAAAAAGGCTAGTGTTAATCATGAAGGAACAGAGTGATGGGGAATTAGGACTAATGAAGCCCTGAGAGACCAACAGGAGGCCTACGCTCTCTTTCTTTGTCTCTCTCTCTCTCTCTTTTTCTATTTGTCTCTTTTTCTCTGTTTGTGTCTTACTCTGTCTATCTGTGTGTCATTCTCCGTTGTCTCTTTAGTCCTCTCTTTTTCCTACTTCCTTTGCATATCAGGACGTGTGAAGATGGAATCTGTATGCAAATATCATAACGTGGACTGTGGGAGGGAGGGACAGCAATTTAACTTGTCAAGTACTAGAACTGTATAAAGATGTTCAAGCCCACATTCACGACCTTCATCTTTGAATTCCTTCTTTCCTTCCTCATTTCCCCCAGCTCACCTGTGCAATGGCATGTTCCACCAGCACCTGCAAAACCTTTTCATCCCACTGGTGGTGCGCTACATCGACCTTATGGAGTCCTCCATCGCCCAGTCCATCCACCGCGGCTTCGAGCAGGAAACCTGGCAGTCCGTCAAGTAAGGGCCCTTCCCCCAAGCAACCTACCCCTTCACGACTCTAAGCACCTAGATCTGAAATGACTGGATAGGTGTAAGAAATATGGTAACAGCCCCACCTTGCACTCTGTTATTGGAATCTAAGGCGGCAAACCATAATGGTGATACTGAAAATGCCCCTGTTGTCATTAGTTGCATTCTGTTTTGCTATTTAAAGCTACTTGCTCTAAGTCTAAGAGATGGGCTTTTACACTTAAAACCCAAAATAGTTATTTTCAGCGGGTTCTCCTATGGGGACAATTGAAGAACCCTTTATGGTTCTAAGTAACACCTTATTTTCTATGAGTATAGGCTAGATAACATCCACCAACAAGGCATAAAATCATGCTATCACCAGATGGAGGTGAAAAATCAACACTCAACGGAATCTCTCTGTTATCTTTTGTCTCTGTCGTATCTTTTTTTGTTGTTGTTTGGTTTGGTTTGCCATTCATTTCTTTTTAGGACAATAACCAACAGCCTACCGAGCGTGCCTCTGCCCAAAGTCAATCTCCCACAGATGCCCAGCTTCTCAGCACCCTCCTGGATGGGCCCACTGTGTGACAGCACGTGTGTAGGGGCTGCCACGAGACCTAGTGGGGCAATGTGGCATGGACTGTGCTGTGGTTGTCTTGCCATTGTCAAACTTATCCTATTCAAGAAAACAATTTTTAATTATGTTACTCCCCTTTGCCAATTATGTGCAATTAAGTATTGAACTAGTTTAATGTATTTTGTAGAACTGTGAAAGTTCTGAGAGAAACCAGGAGAAAAGATCAGCTCGAAAATGTGCTCTCACATTTCAATTTCAAAGTTAATAGTAAAACCAGTTTTTGTTGTTTACTACTGATGCTTTTAACTGTGCAACATTTTCCTGGGACTGGTTGCCCCTTTTGATGACCTCAAACTGATACCTTCTGTAATACCAAGATAAAAGCATGGTTGTTTTTGTTGTCTTGTGAGAATTGTTGTGTTCTGTGGCACATTGTTCCCCAGCATGGTTATTTTCTCTATTGTGAAATGTACGTTGTGGTCTTGGAGCCTGCCTCTTTGGTCAGGAGCGGTTTTGGAATGTGTATGACATGTTTTTGTTCCCACATCCCATCATATATTTCAGGTATTTTTATTTGTATAAATCTAAATTTTATTATACATGGAGAGTATCAAAGAGATACCTGTTTTTGCCTCCTATAATTATGATCTTAAGGTATGCTAGTCAATTCACAGCTCAACTAAGGACTGAATTGTGGAATATAACATGCCTAATGAATGTTGAATGAGAAATTATATTCTTATTCTTATTTATTTTAGCTTGCAAGGAGTTAATTTACCTGATATTTTGTAAGTAGGCTTAGCCATTTTACGGATTTAAGTGAATATGTTTTTCAAAACCTCAATGCTTTCTTTGTGACTCTTATGAGACTGTTTTTGGCACTTGTCAAACATTTGTCATAATTGAGCAGACATGATCCCCCGCAAGCAAGATCATTAAGCGTAATATAGATGGCCTACCAGGAGTCATTTTCCTGTGTTTTTGGTTGTAAAACAACATATAGCATTTGATCAACTACTAGTGAGTGCATCGCAGTGCTAACTGTGCCACTAGAGATCCTGGTTCGAATCCAGGCTCTGTCGCCGCCGGCCGCGACCGGGAGACTCATGGGCGGCGCACAATTGGCCCAGCGTCGTCCAGGGTAGGGGAGGGAATGGCCGGCAGGGATGTAGCTCAGTTGATAGATCATGGCGTTTGCAACGCCAGGGTTGTGGGTTCGATTCCCACGGGGGGCCAGTATAAAAAAAATATGTATTCACTAACTGTAAGTCGCTCTGGATAAGAGCGTCTGCTAAATGACTAAAATGTCAATGTAAATGAGTAGTATAGTCACTGGTATGACCACCAGATGATATTTGAGTGAACAGTGAAGACTCAACAACATGGCTTCTGAGGGCCCCATAGAAACAGTGGCAGTAATGGGACCACCCGAGGGGCGCCCATCTCCGGAGGGAGGCTGAGTTGTGATGTTTGGGAAAGGCTTCTCACACACCCTCCATGTCCTCCCTACGGGACGCCCCCACCTACCCACCACCCCTTTCTTGCTCGAGATAAAAAAAAACCTGGCACTTCGTTAGTGAGCACAGACGGGCGTGGGGGATTGTTCCATTCCCCCGGGAGAGGGGACGCTCGGAGAAGAGAGCTGCTAATTAGTCCTAAGAGGGGGATATGAGCGAGCATTTAATTGCAACACAGATTATGCCCAAACGATTTATTCCCGCGGACCACTTGTGAAGGTAACAGTCTTTTAAAGGCAAAGTGGGAAAAGTGAGGATGTGAGTGCGCTTCACCCACCCCCCACTCTCTACCTCGCTCTCTCCGGTTCGCTGTACACTTGGATGCTGGTTGCTGCCACCGGTTGCCATGTGTTGCCGTGTAACCTCCGGTAGACACCGGGGAGAAGGTGGTGATGGAGACCCATCTGTCTGTGTGCTTAGAGTTTCCTTAGTCACAGTCAGTCTGACAGCGGGGTGTGTTAAGGAACTGTCGGGTGTGTTTTGTCATTACGAGACATGTTAACTATCTTAGGAACATGTTATGCCTGCAGAAAGTATTCATATCCCTTGACTTATTCCACATTTTGTTGTGTTACAGCCTGAATTCAAAATGGGTTAAATCTTTTTTTTTTATCTCACCCATCTACACACAATACCCCATAATGACAAAGTGAAAACATGTTTTTAGACATTTTTGTAAATGTACAGAAATACTGTATCTCATTTACATAAGTATTCACACCCCTGAGTCAATACTTTGTAGAAGCACCTTTGGCAGCGATTACAGCTGTGAGTCTTTCTGGGTAAGCCTCTAAGAGCTTTCCACACCTGGATTGTGCAACATTTGCCCATTATTATTTTCAAAATTCTTCAAACTCTGTCAAATTGATTGTTGATTGTTGATCATTGCTAGACAACCATTTTCAGCTCTTGAACCTTTCCTTTAAGTCAACACTGTAACTTTGCCACTCAGGAACATTCACTGTCTTCTTGGTATGCAACTCCAGTGTAGATTTGGCCTTGTGTTTTAGGTTATTGTCATGCTGAAAGGTGAATTCATCTCCCAGTGTTTGGTGGAAAGCAGACTGAACCAGGTTTTCCTCTAGGATTTTGCCTGTGCTTAGTTCCATTCTATTTCTTTTTTTTGCTGAAAAACTCCCCAGGCCTTAACGATTACAAGCATACACATAACATGATGCAGCCACCACTATGCTTGTATTCAGGACAAAAAGTGAATTGCTTTGCCACATTTATTGCAGTATTACTTTAGTGCCTTGTTGCAAACAGGATGCATGTTTTGGAATATTTGTATTCTGTACAGGCTTCCTTCTTTTCACTCTGTCAATTAGGTTAGTATTGTGGAGTAACTACAATGTTGTTGATCCATCCTCAGTTTTCTCCTATGACAGCCATTAAACTCTGTAACTGTTTTAAAGTCACCATTGGCCTCATGTTGAAATCCCTGAGTAGGTTTCCTTCCTCTCCGGCAACTCAATTAGGAAGGATCCTGTATCTTTGTAGTGACTGGGTATATTGATACACCATCCAAAATGTAATTAATAACTTCACCATGCTCAAAGGGTTATTCAATGTCTGTTTTTTTTTTGCCATCTACCAATCGGTGCCCTTCTTTGCGAAGCATTGGAAAACCTCCCTGGTCTTTGTGATTTAACCTGTGTTTAAAATTCACTGCTCGACTGAAGGACCTTACAGGTAATTGTATGTGAGGGGTACAGAGATGAGGTAGTCATTAAAAAAGCATGTTAAACACTATTATTGCACACAGAGTGAGTCCATCCAACTTATCTGACTTGTTAAGCAAATGTTTACTCCTGAACTTATTTAGGCTTGCCATAATAAAGGGGTTGAATACTTATTGACTCAAGACATTTCAGTTTTTCATTTTTTAATTAATTTGTAAAAATTTCTAAAAACATAATTCCACTTTGACATTATGGGGTATTGTGTGTAGGCCAGTGACAACAAATATACATTTAATCAATTTTAAATTCAGGCTGTAACACAAAATGTGGAAAAAGTCAAGGATGTAAATCCTTTCTGAAGGCACTGTACCTGTGACATGTTAACTGTGGACCATGTTAATTGTTGAATGTGTTCAGGTACTGAGCAGTAATACAAGAAAACATCAGCACTTCACTTAAAGGAATACTTCAGGATTTTGACAATGAAGCCCTTTATCTACTAACCCAGAGTCAGATGAACTCATGGATACTATTTGTATGTCTCTGCGTGCAGTTTGAAGGAAGTTGCTTACTAGCGTTAGCGCAATTGCTAACTAACGTGGTAACTGCTAGTATGCTAGTAGATACTCTAGACTTCCAGTCATTGCGCTAAGGCTAGTTAGCATTGGCTCGTGAAACTAACTCTAACTTCCTTCATACAGAGACATAAAAATGGTATCCATGACTTCATCGGACTCTAGGGTAGTAGATAAAGGACTTCATTGCCAAAATCCTGAAGTATCCCTTTAAAGCCCTCTTACACAAAGCCCCGGACTAAGTGTAACTCCGTCTTACATTTACATTTACATTTTAGTCATTTAGCAGACGCTCTTATCCAGAGCGACTTACATGAGCAATTAGGGTTAAGTGCCTTGCTTAAGGGCACATCGACAGATTTTTCACCTTCATTTGTTAATGTTTATTGACAACTGACAGAACATTGCCATTTCAATTTAAGTGTTTACCTATTTCTTCATGCATCCAGACATGCAGTGGTGGAAAAAGTACCCAATTGTCATACTTCAGTAAAAGTAAAGATGCCTTAATAGAAAATGAAAGTCACCCCGTAAAATACTACTTAAAAGTCTAAAAGTATTTGGTTTTAAATATACTTAAGTATCAAATGTAAATGTAATTGCTAAAATATACTAAAGTATCAAAAGTAAAAGTATAAATAGTTTCCAATTCCTTATATAAAGCAAACCAGTAAAATGTGTTGTTTTGTTTTTATTTACAGATAGCCAACACTCAGACATAACACAAATGCTTCATTTGTAAATTTAGTAAGTCCACCAGATCAGAGGCAGTAGGGATGACCAGGGGCGTTCTCTTGATAAGTGTGTGAATTGGACCATTTTCCTGTCCTGCTAAGCATTCAAAATGTATTAAGTACTTTTGTGTGTCAGGGAAAATGTATGGAGTAAAAAGTACACTATTTTCTTTACGAATATAGTGAAGAAAAGTAAAAGTTGTCAAAATTATAAATAGTAAAGTAAAGTACAGATACCGCAAAAAAATACTTAAGTAGTCATTTAAAGTATTTTTACTTAAGTACTTTACACCACTGCTGACATTCCATTCTAAGTGCTATATGCCATTCTAAGGACTGTGTTATTCACTCCTTTATATCTGGAGGCTGAACACCAATTTAGGGAAAATTGTGTAGAGGAGTAATTAAAGCTGTGAATAGATCACAGTTTGTGTCTGTGAATACACACTGCAGCTCTTTTTAAGTGTGTGTGTGTGCATGCATTATTATTATTTATTCTCCCATGTATTCCATGTCTGAGAAGAGGACAAAGTACTTCTACTCTGATTTTGTTATTTTGGCTTCTTCCCACTCCAACCCCTAGTAACGGCTCGGTGACCTCCGAGGACCTCTTCTGGAAGTTGGACGCCCTCCAGATGTTTGTCCTAGACCTGCACTGGCCCGAGCCTGAGTTTGCCAAACATCTGGAGCAGAGGCTGAAGCTCATGGCCAGCGACATGATGGAGGCCTTCGTCAAAAGGTCAGAGGGCAGGAGGAGGTCACCACCTGGGATGGGTTGGGGGTCAGCGTTTACCCACCAAGTTTTTTGCCACTGCATTCCTGGTTTATAATTGAGATATTACTGAGGATAATGAGAATAAGGTTAGTCAGGGGCGGACTGGGACCAGAAATCCACCCTGGCATTTCTAACACACCGGCCCATTTTTTTCCTTGAGGCCCCCACACCGGCCCATTTTTTTTCCCTGGAGGCCCCACACCGGCCCAGATAATGACCATTTTGCGCAGGAAAAAAAACTAGTTAGACAGGCCCACAGCGCTAAAAATGGAGCAAAATGCCAGATGGCCAGTCTGCCCCTGAAGTTAGTAATGCGGTTCTGAACAGTGTTTTCCATAGCCCCCTAGGAATGAGCCATATCATAAAACCTTTCAATTATCTTTTTTACCCAAAGGACGAAAGTGGCCTTCGACTCCAAGATGCAGAAGGCCAGCAAGTCAACGGACTTCCGGGTGTCGCTGTCGGTGTACACCATGTTCAACGTGCTCATGGACGCCAAGAAGCAGTGCTCCAAACTCTGTGTGCTGGACTCTGGTCTAGAGGTACGACCGCATTCAATTGCTATTCTCTGTTCTTTGACCACACAAACTGTCCACACATTTCCATCGATGCATGCAAAACCACCACAAACCCTACTAACGTCAAACCAGGTTGTTTCGGTAGTCAACTATTGAGTGTAGAAAACAATGGATATACTGTAGTTAAAATAATGTTTTTTAAACTCTACATGCCTTCATCAGTTATAAGTACACTGAACCACCACAACAACAGTAGCAAATATTGTTCCCTACCTTGCCTGGGTTTCCCTCAAGAGCTCAGTAACTAATGTTTCCCTTTGTCTGTGGCAGATTCAGTAATATTACCTTGACTGCCTCGCAGCCAAAACATTCATTGCGATGGGCACATTCATATCACGTCCAGATCAGTGGTGACATGCAGCAGCTGCTCTAAATCGATGCGTCTGATTGAGCGCTCAATCTCTCCATTACAGCATTTCACGGCGCTAAAGGCTAACCCTCCGCTACCCAGCTACCATTTACACAGTGTCTCTACAGAGCGCTAAGCTCACTGTCCCCTTAACCTTCAGCTCCACAAGTCCCTGAGGATGTTTATTCATTGCCGAACAGACACACTCAGGTTTGTACGCTCAGTGTACACTACAGATTCCAATTTGGATGCCCACTCCATGTTGAGCAATTCCACAGCCCTAATTGAGTTAATGCATTCATTATCTACAGTTGATGTGGTTATGATGTGATAAGGTGTTGTTTCACCTGTGCAAAATACAGTCCAAGATCATTATCTATAAAGCATCTGAACCGCTGATGATTTAGCATAGCGGATGAAAATTGTTATTTTTGATCTAGCTACAAAATTGTATATATCCACTAACCTTGGGTCATTAACATGAAATGTGTTACATTTTTGTTTCCTAAAATGCTGATTACCTGTATAAAATTATTTTTAAAGGAATTATATCACATTACGAGCATTATAATATTTCACTATGAAATTGTTTTGAGGGTATTTTTTAAGCCTTAGAACTAAAGTTGTTGTAGTGAAACTCTAAGGTTCAAGATGTTGTAGTGAAACTCTAAGGTTCAAAAAGCACTTTTCTGCATTTATTCTTTACAAATAAAATGATTTATTTGTCAATTTATGCCTTCCTTTGAGATGTTATAAGTGCTTTTATCACGTCCCTGCATTTAAGTGGACCTCTCCAGTGCAAAATCATACATATCACTAATATTTCCACATAAATGTATGTAATTAGTTGATATTGACATGTATAAAATTAGCATGTCCTGATATATGAAAGGCTGTTATCCCTGACACAGATTAATATTTGGCTAAAAAATACTTTCAGTGGTGATTCTCCTTTGAGCATGCTTTTTAGTCCAGTAGTAGGTTTCAGTCTAGATCCGGGAAACTTGCCCATAAATAATATATATACACTACCGGTCAAAAGTTTTAGAACACCTACTCATTCAAGGGTTTTTCTTTATTTGTACTACTCTACATTGTAGAATAATAGTGAAGACATAACAACTATGAAATAACACATATGGAATCATGTAGTAACCAAAAACGTGTTAAACAAATCAAAATATATTTTATATTTGAGATTCTTCAAATAGCCACCATTTGCCTTGATGACAGCTTTACACACTCTTGGCATTCTCTCAACCAGCTTCACCTGGAATGCTTTTCCAACAGTCTTGAAGGAGTTCCCACATATGCTGAGCACTTGTTGGCTGCTTTTCCTTCACGCTGAGGTCCGACTCATACCAAACCATCTCAATTGGGTTGAGGTCGGGGGATTGTGGAGGCCAGGTCATCTGATGCAGCACTCCATCACTCTCCTTCTTGGTAAAATAGCCCTTACACAGCCTGGAGGTGTGTTGGGTCATTGTCCTGTTAAAAAAACAAATTATAGTCCCACTAAACCTAAACCAGATGGGATGGCATATCACTGCAGAATGCTGTGGTAGAAATGCTGGTTAAGTGTACCTTGAATTCTAAATAAATCACAGACAGTGTCACCAGCAAAGCACCCCCACACCATAACACCTCCTATCCATGCTTTACGGTGGGAAAATCACATGTGGAGATCATCTGTTCACGAACACCGCATCTCACAAAGCTACGGCGGTTGGAACCAAAATAATCTAATTTGGACTCCAGACCAAAGGACAAATTTCCACCGGTCTAATGTCCATTGCTCGTGTTTCTTGGCCCAAGCAAGTCTCTTCTTCTTATTGGTGTCCTTTAGTAGTGGTTTCTTTGCAGCAATTCGACCATGAAGGCCTGATTCACACAATCTCCTCTGAACAGTTGATGTTGAGATGTGAAGCATTTATTTGGGCTGCAATTTCTGAGGCTGGTAACTGTAATGAACTTATCCTCTGCAGCTGATTATCGGCTCTTGGTCACCTCCCTGACCAAGGCCCTTCTCCCCCAAATGCTCAGTTTGGCCAGGTGGCCAGCTCTAGGAAGAGTCTTGGTGGTTCCAAACTTCTTCCATTTAAGAATGATTGAGGCCACTGTGGTCTTGGGGATCTTCAACATTTTTTGGTACCCTTCCTCAGATCTGTGCCTCGACACAATCCTGTCTCGGTGCTCTACGGACAATTCCTTCGATCGCATGGCTTGGTTTTTGCTCTGACATGCACTGTCAACTGTTGGACCTTATATAGACAGGTGTGTGCCTTTCCAAATCATGTCCAATCAATTGAATTTACCACAGGTGGACTCCAATCAAGTTGTAGAAACATCTCAAGGATGATAAATTAAAACAGGATGCACCTGAGCTCAATTTCGAGTCTCATAGCAAAGGGTCTAAATACTTATGTAAATAAGGTATTTATGTTTTTATTTTATTTTATATTTTATTTGCAAACATTTCTAAAAACCTGTTTTCACTTTGTCATTATGGGGTGTTGTGTGTAGATTGCTGAGGATTTTTTAAAGTCCATTTTAGAATAAGGCTGTAATGTAACAACATTTTTAAAAAGTCAAGGGGTCTGAAAACTTTCCGATGGCACTGTATATAAATCAAATCAATTTGTATTTGCCACATGCACCGAATACAACAGGTGTAGACATTACAGTGAAATGCTTACTTACAAGCCCATAACAACAATGCAGTTTAAGAAAAATAAATAAAAATAGCAAATAATTAAAGAGCAGCAGTAAAATAAAATAACAGTAGGGAGGTTATATACAGGGGGTACCGGTACAGAGTCAATGTGCGGGGGCACCGGTTAGTCGAGGTAATTGTAGTCGAGGTACTGTAGTCCCCTGTAATTCAGTTGGTAGAGCATGGCGCTTGCAACGCCAGGGTTGTGGGTTCGTTTCCCACAAGGGGCCAGTATGAAAAATGTATGCACTCACTAACTATAAGTCGCTTTGGATAAGAGGGTCTGCTAAATGACTAAAATGTAATTTAAAATGTAATTGAGGTAATATGTACATGTGGGTAGAGTTAAAGTGACTATGCATAAATAATAAACAGAGTAGCAGCAGCGTAAAAGAGGGGGTTGGGGTGGGGTGGGGTGGGGGGCAATGCAAATAGTCCGGGTAGCCATGATTAGCTGTTCAGGAGTCTTATGGCTTGGGGGTGGAAGCTGTTAAGAAGCCTTTTGGACCTAGACTTGGCGCTCCGGTACCGCTTGCCGTACGGTAGCAGAGAGAACAGTCTATGACTAGGGTGGCTGGAGTCTTTGACAATTTACACACACACTGAACAAAAATATAAACGCTGTAAAGTGTTGGTCCCATGTTTCATGAGCTGAAATAAAATATCCCAGAAATGTTCCATACGGGGGGGGGGGTGGGGGGGGCTGAGTATTTCTGTCTGTAATAAAGCCCATGGGGGTAAGCTACGGACAACAAACACAATTGAATTTGATTAATTGTTTGATCGATAGGCTGTTGGTCGACCAAGATTTCTTTAGTCGAGCAGTAGCAAAAAATATACTGCTGCGGAAAAAATTAAGAGACCACTGCAAAATTATCAGTTTCTCTGGGTTTACTATTTATAGGTATGTGTTTGAGTAAAAATAACATTTTTGTTTTATTCTATAAACTACTGACAACATTTCTCCCAAATTCAAAATAAAAATATTGTCATTTAGAGCATTTATTTGCAGAAAATGACAACTGGTCAAAATAACAAAAAAGGTACAGTGTTGTCAGACCTCGAATAATGCAAAGAAAATAAGTTCATGTTCATTTTTAAACAACACAATAGTAATGCTTTAACTTAGGAAGAGTTCAGAAATCAATATTTGGTGGAATAACCCTGATTTTCAATCACAGCTTTCATGCGTCTTGGCATGCTCTCCACCAGTCTTTCACATTGATGTTGGGTGACTTTATGCCACTCCTGGCGCAAAAATTCAAGCAGCTTGGCTTTGTTTGATGGCTTGTGACCATCCATCTTCCTCTTGATCACATTCCAGAAGTTTCAATGGGGTTCAGGTCTGGAGATTGGGCTGGCCATGACAGGGTCTTGATCTGGTGGTCCTCCATCCACACCTTGATTGACCTGGCTGTGTGGCATGGCGCATTGTCCTGCTGGAAAAACCAATCCTCAGAGTTGGGGAACAATGTCAGAGCAAAAGGAAAGCTAGTCCAGGTGTTGGGCAGAGCTGAAAATTGGACTCAACAGATAAGATGACCTCTACGGTCCAATCCTTATGGTCTTTTGCAAACCTCAGCCTGGCTCTTCTTTGCTTCTCATTGATGAAAGGCTTTTTTCTAGCTTTGCACGACTTCAGCCCTAACCCTAAGAGCCTGTTTCGAACCGTCCTCGCCGTGCACTTCACCCCAGCTGCCGTTTGCCATTCTTTTTGTAGGTCACTTGATGTCATCCTACGGTTGTTGAGTGACATTCAAATGAGTTGCCGGTCATCCCGGTCAGTAGAGAGTCGTTTTTGCCCTCTGCCGGTCTGTAGCTTTGTTGTCCCCAATGTCTGCTGCTTGACCTTGTTCTTATGAACCGCCGTCTTTGAAATTTTAAGGATGGAAGCAACCTGACGCTCACTGTATCCCTCTGCCAGTAAAGCCAGAATTGAACCCTTCTTTTCCTCACTCAAAACTTTCCTTTTAAACTCTTTTGGCATGGTCAATAGTTTCTTTTTTTATTAATATTACTTTTGAGGTACTATTAGCACTGTTTTTGCCATCCTGCTGGTCCTATTGCAAGAGGATAGTGATGACCACAGCAGTGGTTTTTATACTTTTCCTCGTTAAATAAGATTTGGTTCATGTGATCACCTAATCAGTACCTAATTCAGTAGAATGAGGTGTGCCTGTGTTGGAATTCAACAGACACTGTAATGGAATGGCTGTCATACATGTAGAGATGCTGATTTAAGAAACATTTGCAGTGGTCTCTTAATTTTTTTCACAGCTGTATATATCATGGTGTATAAGACACCTGTCTGATTCGCACCTGTCTAAGTGGACTGATCCATTGTGGAGGCAGTGGGGATGGCATAGTCCATCAGTCTAAGACATTGTATATGGTTAAATTACATAAGAACAATGGTGCAACAC